CTGTGCTGGGGAGTGGAGAAAGGAGAGAATCCTGAAGGCAGAAACCCACTTTTTACCTTCCCAGTGCAAATTCATTGCTATTACAGGCATGTTTCATTTTATTGCCCTCCCCGGTAATGTATATTTTTAAATAATTGAAGATTTGTAACAACCCTGAGTCCAGCAATTCTATTGGTGACATTTTTTCTGACAGCATTTGCTCATTTCTTATCTCTGTGTCACATTTTGGTAGTTCCTGAAATATTTCATTCTTTATCATTTTAATTAAAACAGGCATGACATTCCTTTAAGGCAAAGCCTAACCCAGTGGAAGCCCCTAATTCTCAGCAATTCTGTAAACCCTGAGAGACGTGAAGAGGCTTCAGAAGAAAAGTGTGAAGCCAGCAGGGGTTGGCCCATGAAGTTTAAGGCAAGATTCCATCTCCACTGCATACCTGTGCAAGGTAAGGCAGAAGAGCTGACCCAGAAGCTGCTGGAAGTGCTCTAGGAGATGAAGCTGAGACAGCTAATGAAGGTGTCTGCACTAAACAACAGGTTTTCAATGCAGAGACCTGCAAGGGGAGGCCACCCAGCGCTGTCACAGCTGGAGAGAAGTCAGCGCCCAGCATCAAGGCTTCAATGGACAGGCTGACTTCCTGTGAGGGGCTAACGAAGCCAATGCTGATTTAACATTCTGAAAATCCTCTGTCCTTTGAGAATCATGGGAAATCTACTCTGTGCTCTATAAATGGAACAAAGCCTGGATGACAGCACATATATTTACAACATGAGTATTTAAGTCCACCGTTGAGAGCTACTGCTCAGGGGAAAAAAAAGTAAACCAAAAAAACATTTATTTCAAAATATTACTGCTCATGGACAATGCACCAGTCACCCAGGAGCTCTGATGGAGATGCATGAGATGAATGCTGTTTCCATCCTTAACACGATGTCCATTCTGCAGCCCGTGGGTCAGAAGTAGTTATGACTTTTAAGTCTCATTATTTAAGAAATACATTTTGGGGGGCTTTAGCTGCCACAGATACTGATACCACTGATGGGTCTGGGCAATTAAATGAAAACTTTCTGGAAAGTATTCACCATTTTAGAGCCCATTAAGAACATTCATGATTCATGGGAAGTGAAAATATCAACATGAACCAAGGTTTGGTAAGAACTGATTCCAATCCTGATGCATGACTTTGATGGGCTCAAGACTTCAGTGCAGGAAGGAACTGCAGATGTGCTGAAAACAGCAAGAAAACTAGAGTTACAAGTGGAGCCTGAAGACATGACTGAATGGCTGCAACCTCATGATAAAATGTGCACAAATGAGGAGCTGCTACTTATGGACGAGCAAAGAAATTGTTTTCTTGAGATGGAATCTACTGGTGAAGAAGCTGTGAAGAAGGGCGCATGAACTTATAGCTGAGAAACTACTGCAGGGTTTGAGAGGGCTGACTCCAATTTGGAAAGAAGTTCTCCTGTGTGTAAAATGTATCAAACAGCACTGTCTGCTACAGAGGACTTGTTCCTGAAAGGGAGAGTTACCCTGTGACAAATTTCACTGTGGTCTTATGTTAAGAAGTTTCAAAAGCCACACCAATCTTCAGCAACCGCCACAATGATCGGTCAGCAGCCACCAACATCAGTTCCAGACCATCCACCAACGAAAAGACAACACCTCACTGAAGGCTCCGATGGTGGATAGTAGTTTTTAGTAAGCAAGTATATTTTCATCAAGTTATGACCATGGGGGTTTTTAGACACAGTGGTACTGCTCACTTAATAGACTACAGTGTAGTGTAAACATAACTGTTATATGCACTGGAAAGCCAAAAAAAAAATCATTTCACTCTCTTTACTATGATACTTATTTTATTCTAGGGGTCTAGAACTGAAGCCACAACATCTCCTAGGAAGCCTGCATATGAGGTTTTCTTCCCAACAAGCTACATACCTTCCAGGTTGCATTCCTCAGTCGTCATGGCTCTCTGCATAGAACCCTCAGATCTGGTCTTCAAAATGCCTGGCTGCAAGACAGATGTGAGAAAAAGACGTTCAGGAAGTACTGATGCCAAGTAACGTGAATGTACGTAACACGAGAGGATCATACACTTGGAAACGGCTAAGACGGGTCATCTGCTTTACGTGCGTTACAGCACAGACACCGACACAGTGACGTTCAGCTCTCTGATGTAAGCATCTCTGGGGTGAGGAATGTTTCTTACCCTCTTCTTGCTGCTGAGCTGGACATCCTACTGCACACACACTTCTTCAGATTTCACTGTGACTTCATGGACATGAGCTTTATTAAGAGCAATTTCAACCTAAAACAACTTTCCCACTGATGACTAAATTCCCAAGAAAAATAATCCGAAAAGACATCAACATTTAATCTTCTAAGACGTGAAATTGTTGTTCCTTATGAAAGCTAATGTGTACAGTGGAAATCCTGCCGCTAATGGAGGCATTTCCCTCTGAAATTCCTGAAGTGTTCATTGAAATAGCATCTTTCAAGGTCTCTGGAGATGTTCCTTTTTCCAGTATCTTCACACAGGACAGAAACAAAGCATGTACTAAGATTTCAATGAAAACTCAGGGTGATATGCTTAAAAAGTGTAACTTTTTTTTTCAAAAACAAATTATTTTGCTAAGTGCATAACAAACCATAGAAAATAAATATATTAGCTCTGGTACATGTCCCAAGACTTTGGTGAGCAGTCTCTCTGGAAGGCAGTGAAATGATTCTGAACATACACATTTTGAAAAGGAAAGAAAGCAAGTGTCATACATCCCCTTACACATGCTTGAAAGCATCTGGGACTTCGCATGAATCTCAGTGTGGGGTCAAAGACAGTGTCTGCTCCATTTGAGAGTTTACAGCAGACAAGGTCTCTTCAAGTTCTAGCACTGGGAGTCCTAGCAGCTCGTTCTGACCCTTTGTGTCTTGCATTTCCTTTTTCAGCTGGTCCTCTTCCATTGTCAGCCTGTCAATCTCTTCCAGCAAGTCTTGGGTTTGTTCTGATGGGCAGCTGCTTTTCTTCAATCCATTTGGAATCCTGTCCCTTCTCAGCCAGGACCCACAGCCACCCCTAAGTTTCCTGTGATGGCAGCTGATCCAGGCTGGGCCCAGGACAAATGTCAAGCCCACGAAGACATGCAGAACAAAGACCTCCAGGCACAGATACTCCTTAGCCTCCACAGACTTCCTCCTCACTGGACAATGGAAGACATGACTTGTTGACAAGGGGAAGCAAGGGTGGGAAACTGCTTATGTCAAAGAGCTCACAAATGAGTGTTCCCAGTGGAATATAAAGTTTTCCCAAATTCACATGGAAAATTCTCTCTTTAACATAAACAGGGCAAAGGGCTGTGCACCTCGGCTAGATAACTTCCTTCACCTCTCAGGTGTTTCCTGGCATTTTCTATGTATCTTGGAGGGCAGTGTGAGTGGCGAGAAAACT